CAACAGTATTTTCGGTCCGTTGCGATATACAGTCAGTCGCTAGCGATTCGCTACTGCATACAGTTGGTCTGGTGCTATACAGTTGCTAGCGATTGCAGCTTCACCCTTACGCGCAGCTGCGCAGCATACTTGAGCAACCCCACCTTCCGTACATAGCTTAGCGCAAGTAATCAGCTGAACATGATTGGTCAATCTTCAGTCTCATGATGACGAAACTGTTATAATGCTGCCTGCAGGGGTGAAGCTGCAATCGCTAATCACTGTACTGCCTCATCTTTTCGGTGATGTTGGTGGAAGAACCGAGGCACGCTGCAGTCCGAGGTGCACGGCAGTCCAGCGCGGTGTGGGTGGATACTCGGGTATTGGTCGAACTGGAATCAATTCTCTCGGGAGTTTCCAACTAACTTCCGAAACAATTTTCCCGGGAATTTTTTGTAGTTAGACCATGCATCCCTGTGCAGAAAACGCGTCCGAAACCGAGTGAGATTGAGTCAAGTGCATGTGAAGATATGCCCTTCGGACTTTAAGGAAGGTATGCATTGCTAGTCAAGGATTACCTGCCGCATTCCATAGTTCAATTGTGTCTCGACATGTGTTTTGCTTCTTGGGGTCGCTTCTGAGGTGTTCCGTGGTGCAGCAGACAACAGGAAGGGCCCACCCATAGTAAAACAAGCAACTACTGTAGCACTAGTAGGCCTTAGAATCCTAGTTTCTCAGGGAGAAGAACAGCTAGGCGGAGAAGCTATTTCGATTGTGCATAAGTAGAGGAAGGACATGGCTCTTCCGTAACAGCGACACAATCCACCATGGCTTCGCAACACCAACCCTTCTGCTCAATGAGGCCGACCACCACAGACGTCATTATCAGCAACGCTATCAGCGAGCCTCTCAGCGGGGTGAGCAGTACCGATGGACTTGCCTTCACAGACAACGACAACGACGACGACACTACCACCACTATCCTTTTTCAGAATACGACCCTTGCCTGCGCACTTCGTGTCATCACCGTCGAAGCAGCTGCCGTCACACACGCCGCACAACTGTATACGAATTCTGTGCCTATGCGTCGCATGCTGTTGGTAGCAGTTCGTATAATCACAGGTGTACATGCGCAAGGTGGGAAAGTAGTTGTATGCGGCATAGGCAAGAGCGGACATATCGGGCGCAAGCTCGTAGCGACGCTGAACAGTTTAGGCGTAAGCGCTGCATTCCTCCATGCCGCTGAAGCTGTACATGGCGATCTTGGTATGGTGAGAGATGTGGATGTGCTGTTGTTTGTTAGCTTTAGTGGATGCACCAGGGAGCTAGTTAACGTGCTGCCGCATGTCACGTTCAAGGTGCCTATCATCGCGCTAACTGGGCATACGGACGTGAGCGCATGCCCACTACTCGCGGGACGGCAAGTGCTTGGCTTAGGCTTAGGAGAGAACGAAGAGCAGGGTGGAGGACATAAGGATGGCAGGGGCATCGGGATACTGCTACCTACACCAGTACACGAGAGTGAGGAGGAAAGCTTTGGTGTCGGGGCGCCGACTACCAGCACGATCGTGGCTATGGCTGTTGGCGACATGCTGGCCATCGCAGTTTCGGAAAGGATATACGGCGCTGATAAGGCTTATATGTTCCAGAGGAATCACCCAGGTGGTATCCTTGGAACTTTTGTCGCATCACAGTATAATGGCAACAGTAGCGACGATTGCTACCGAGGCTGTAGAAAGCAAAATGTAGATTGATCAAAGCGCGAAAAGAGTTATGTAATCTGGCTGTTGTTTTTACAGTAAGTACTTCTAGTATTTAATTTGCTTCGTGATACAGCCTAAGGTATGGGTTTAGGGAGAACGAATAAGGACTGAGTTGATTTCTATAGACAACTATGACTCTCTACTTGTATCGTCTATGGACTAGGGTCTTCATAAAATGCGTGGGATGATAGGCTCTATATATGTAAGCCCAGAAGTACCACGTATAGTCATGTGGTTACCACTGACTAATAACACTGTATTTAAACTTGCTCTTAGCATCATGTACGACAGAACACACGATACTTTCTACCTGGTGAACTGCTTACAATATATTATTATAATGTGGTGGAGTTACACGCTTATAGAGGTGCACAAAGTTGGTGAGGTGGCTCACTCGCTTGCCTGGCTCACTCTCTTATCCAACACGTTATATAAAATCAGATACATGTCAAGGTACCCTGGTGTCACACGACTAGTTACATGATTAACACTATAGACACGTAATTTACGGTCCCGAGACATGAAGAACCACGGCCAAGCGGAAGAACCTCTTTTTCTCTCCAATACTTCATATAGCCTTGACCCCTACTATCGATGCCAAACTCAAATTTCCATCCATCCACTTTCGTCTCGGCAATTGCGCACGTCACACTTATCTGGCAACTTCGCTTTGGTGAAGTTTACCAAGCCATAAGGCACTGACGCAGCTCGGATGGGATCGTCAGCCCACAACCTCAACTGTTGAAAATCTCGACAGAGGGGCCTTGTAGCTACTTCTGATGTTATATTGCCTATTATGCCACCGGAAGACGGTTGTTGCTGAAGGTATCCTTCTGCTGTCGGATCAGCAAGACACGAAATTGCCTTGAACATCATATTGAAGCAGTGGATAACATGGTCATCTTCATGCTGTGGCCGATATCCATTGATAAGAAAACCATAATCTCTCAGCGTTTCGAGCTAATATGATTTAGATAGTGTTTGTTCTCATTTTTACAGAACCACTTACTAGGCAGTGCATTTGGTGAAATGCATTAATCGCATATGTTTCTTCATGATCGGTAATGTGAGGAAATATAACCCGGTCTATACCAGATTGATCTTTCCACATCTTGTAATCTCCGTTCACTCTTACTTGAGAGGCTTTGATGTTCTAGGGTCAATCATCGTAGTCTGATAAGCTCGGACACCTAGTAATGGCCACACCCAGTAGTGGCCACCCCAATCAAAACAGCGTCACCAAACTTTGAAGCCAAATATCATAGCAACAA